GACAACAGCCACACTACACCACCACCACCACCAACTACAACAACAACTAATATGACCAAAAACTCAAATTCTGCCCTCAATACTATAACTCAAATTGAAATAAAATCTAAGACGGACACAAAAGAATGCAACACGGTTTAATATATATATATATATATATATATATATATATATATATATATATATATATATATATATATATATATATATATATATATTTTTATTGCAATGAAATAAACCTCAAATTGTATCAACACAAGTCTTAAGTTAAGTCTCTACCTACGATTGGTCAATCTGAGTAAGACTTCAAATTCAGCCAATCACAGCACTGGATTTTCAACTTCAAGACTTAAATTCTTTTGGTGAAATTCAGGCGGTTATAAGCCTAATTTTGGATAATAGAATTCCATCCTTTTAATAGAAAACTAATACGTTTTCTGATTGCAATGACATTTACTAATAGATTCAATATGGCAACTTTTCCTTTCCCAAATGTGTACATATTATTTCATAGAAGAACAATAGCATTGGACATAACAGTCTGGACTAAGCATTATCCGGGTAAATTTCAAATTATGACCATCATCACCCCCTTCCCACCAAAAACAAAATCTATAAGACATGAATAAATTCAAATTACAATTTTCTTTGGCGGTCACAGTACAAAAGTTGTTGAATAGTTTGATTGGGAACTGATTTTTTTACCGCTAGGGTAAGGTTCAAGTCACGAATCAGCATCACCATCACAAGCACGATACTATGTCATATGTGTGGCCATGTTTTGTAACATATAAAAAGCATCAACGTTCAGTTCTCTTCCGCTTCCCTCCTTACAAAATGTGTTGAGTATTTTGATGGAGGACGGACTTTCTTGGATCTATAACAATTGTATCTGTGATAAATTCCACCGTGGCTTCCTTTTATGTTCTATGACTGCATGTACGAGTTAATCGGTAAGGTGCGTTTTTTACCTATTGCTGTCTACTATTTTCAGTGGGATCAACTCTTCTACCCTGAAAAAGATATGTCGTCTTTTGCAGTACGAACATAACAACCATATACTATTAACGAATGCGCAGGAACATTTTTGAGACATATCGAGACGAAATATATTATCGTATTCCGTCTGAGCTCGCTTATAAATTGATTTCCGCTGCAAACTGCACAAATTCAGATCTGCCATCGCATACTTCAGCAGAACATCTGAGTCTATGCAGTGTGTTAGGAATAGTCAGTAGAACTTTCAACATAGACCCTGATCTGTCAGCCCATTATGATACAGAAGATAAATCACGATGTTCCTTGTTGTTGAACTCGATTCATAAGCGAGTAGAGTTGGTAGATATGGTTTACGTTTGACAATATCCGCCACAACTGAGATGTAATAAGATCTGTATGATAAGAACAATACGATTGGGATTGTAAGATAAACAACCAAAGTGATCGATACATTTCGGATTGTATTGGGATATGTGTGAGGGCATGTACCACTTTATAATTGATAGTTCTCCTTCGAATTGATTCATAATGCCTTAAACATGAAATTCAAAACTAGAATCAAAGTCTGCTAAATTTAATAATCAGAGTCTTAAAGTAGGATAAAATTGAAAAATTTTCTCAATTTTGGTTTATATAATTCTATGCTAAGTCTTTGATGTAGCTATTTAGTCTTGGAATTATGTGTGGTGTTTTTAGATTTTTGACCCTTATCTCGAGGTTGCTGTTTGAAACAAATGAAAAACACTTAAACAAATGAATAAAATCGTGTTTTCTTCAATTGATTAAAAATTATTATAAATTTAAAATGACAGTTACCTACCTTTCTATATACAGGTATTACAAGACATGCAGCGGAATCTCGTTCATCTGTTTGTGTTGGGTTTCATAATATGCCAGTTTGCCGTGGAAAGCCAACCTTCCCGAAAATGTCTGCAGATTAATGGTCAATGTGTTAGCACTTCCGGGATCAGGGGCTGTTCGGCTATTGATGGCACCTGTGTCAGCATTCATGGTTTGTGTAGATGCAAGATAAGAGCATTACCCACCAGATAGTTCGAAGTAACCTGATTCTGAGATGGTCAAAGATCGGCTTCATTATCATCATCACTGATTCCTCTAGCTATCTGACAATGACACCGTTATTTGTCTCTTTTTGTCTTTTTAGCTTATGAACGTACACGCTTTAGACATAGCAATGTTAACCTGAACGTTTAGCTAAATGCATTAACAGATGTAAAAGATTCAGCAACAGATACGGAAGATACATTACTTTCATACCCTTCTACACGGCGTGATATCATTGTGAACAAAGATTCTTTATGACCATCTTGACTATACAGTGCCTGCTATACTATTGATATATCCATCTCAAAAATATAATAAATACGTCCAACTGTATCTGTTCCAAAAAATTATTGATCTAAAGATTAATGGCTTCGCAGAACATTATTAAAGTGGGACCCGAGTGGCCGATTGGTCTAAAGCTCTCTCCATTACTGTTCACTGCCTTCTCACCTGTCTGCGTGGGTTCGAGTCTAAGATTTGTCGAATGCGTATATATGAGAAATCTTGCCAGTAGCAACTCGTCAGTCGGAGGTTCTTTCAGGGGATTTCCCGGTTTCTTCCTCAACTATTAATACTGGCCGCCATGTATAGCCTATCGTGTGCTGAATAATGGCGTTAAGCCCAACATCAACAACATTATTAAAAGTCCTTTACTATACATGCCTCTTTTGATGACACGTGCGTAAAGGTGATTTCAATGTTTTACTATTACACAAAACTTAATTACACAAGTGCTCTGAAAATCGAATTCAACAAGTTCAACATCAATTTTTAAAGTTAGCTTTATAAAATCATGGTGACACACATTCATAAACGTATCATTAACCTACTTGTTATGATTTCTTTCTTCCTTATCAGACATATAGACCGTGACAAAATGTAGTGTATATATACTCCTGAAATATTTTAGCTTTAGATCACAAAAAGTTTTAAATAGTCCTTGTAAGTAAAATATTAAAATAGTCGATTTATGTTTACAATTTTGGAAATAACACGATAGATGACACACACACACATACTTACATACATACATACATACATACATACATACATACATACATACATACATACATACATACATACATACATACGTACGTACGTACGTACGTACGTACGTACGTACGTGCGTGCGTGCGTGCGTGCGTGCGTGCGTGCGTGCGTGCGTGCGCATGTATGTATGTATGTATGTATGTATGTATGTATGTATGTATGTATGTATGTATGTATGTATGTATGTATGTATGTATGTATGTATGTATGTATGTGAGAGAAAGAGATAATAGCTTCCTTTCTTGACATTAACCGAATTTTTAAATGCATATAATTATTATTAAATACGTATGATTAAAATTCAACAGCATATATAAAAATACAAACATACACCAGTCGGATTCAAGGAATGCTTGATCCAATAGATATTTTAATATGACGAAATTATATTGTCATACATGTTTGACTAGTTTCACGAGGCCATTAATTAATATTTGGCATGGAAATGTAGGGTTCTCTTAACTTTTTCATTAATATTCTGCGGTTAAGTTGTACAATGGGTTTTGTCTTCGTTGTTATGTAATTTCTGTATTGTATGCTATAGGTTTTTTATCATACGCTGCAATTTTCAGTTTTGTCAGTGGTAACAGTGTTAGGTGCATTAGTTCAGAAAATATGTGTTAGCTTAGACATTATGCGCAGCAGTGGCTTCATCATAACATGTATTGCTTACTCTGCTATGTAGCTCATGTTGCCTTATATATTATGCTTATTCCTCTATCTTGAATATGCAGCTGAAACATCTGTACTATATTTAGTGCTTATCGCATTATATGATTTATTTTTGTATGAAAACCACGACCAACTCGTACATCTCAGGAACTCGACCAACTCGTACATCTCAAGAATTGGACCAACTAGTACAAACAATGAAGACCCAGATCTAATTTGCTTAAAATTTGAATAACATATTCTCCAATTGATTGTTAGAAAAACGAACATATTTAAATCAATATTTAATCAATTAAAACAGCTGCAAAAAGAAGACAATATTTATTCTGAGGTAATGGAAGTGTCTCACAGAGAGATAGAGAGAAAAACGAAGACAGAGAAAGACAAAACAGAACTGGTAGTAATCTTGATAAATTGTACCCAAAACATGAATACTGGACTAGTCGAAGTACGAAATAAAGCCCATGAAATTCGGTGCCGTTTTCATCGCCGACTCAGCGAGACCAAGACAGCTATATATATATATATATTCTTACAAAGTAGATTATATTAAATTAAGTATCTACCTTCATAGTATTTTTTGCACCGTTTAAATGAAGTGCATTTTTTTCACGATATCCCGCCATCATTTTAGTTATAAACATACATTAAATTCTTTGTTTCACCCGTGGTTCTTTGCGATTTGTCTAATGGTAGTTATAGTGGACAGGGCCAACTATACAAGAGAGATTTCTGGAATTCGTCAATGAAAACTGGTTTTGGTAAATGATGTTGCAGAATGTAATTTATTTCAGACTTTTAACATGAACTTTAATTGAATCTTCTATTGTGTCTGGAATGGAGCACAATAATATATTAAACTAGAAAGCCAATGTAACCAATCAACTGACCTCGATTATTAAAGCACGCGTACTTAAATACACCTATATACGCCCTGCAAGCCTGAATGTATTCCAAAAGATAACAAAGACATTTTGGTATAATAAAGTGATAGGACTGGATAGAAATCAACAGCGCACATCACGGTAATATTTTTAGAACACACTTCGAGTAACGACGAGTTCAGGTCAAAAGGAACAAGACTTCTCAGGCTGGCATGTGTGGCGTTGAAAGTAATTGCATTGAAAACACTTATGTTGTTGCATATAGATTAAAAACACTTCGCAGTCAATCCTAACAATAAATTTTTAATGCATTTTTAAAGGTGTTTGGTATCATTCGGCCGGGCATCTAACCCACGACCTCCCGAATTGGAGGCAGACGCTCTAACCACTAGGCCACCGGAACGATCTCACACTTTCTTGCTATACGTACAACAAAACTTTCATAGTGAGAATGATTTGTAATATTAAAAGTAAGTTATATTTTACTTTATAGAACATATCGCTAAGCTGCAATCATTCCATTCTTAGTTCATTTTTCTTTGGTGGTCTGGTTTATTATTTTATTGCTTTTCTTTCCTGAGGGTATTTTAACGTTTGGTTTTGTTTGGGGTTTTTTTGGTTTGTTTGTTTGTTTTTTTTTTTTGTTTTGTTTTGTTTTTTTTTTTGGTTGTTTTTTTTTTTTTTTTGCTTATTTGTATTGACTTGTAACCAAGAAAGAAAACGTGACTTTCAAACAACATCGTCATTAACAGCAATTACAATAACAGCAATACCAAGCAACAACGTTTTGAACATGAGTGTGTCAACATTGATAATAATGATACCTATCAACGGAATAAATGAGACAGCATCAATTATCCGAGTGATCACTTAAACAAGAGAGATCAATCCCTCCCTTCTGGATAATCGATTTTAATAAAGCGCAATTATCCATCATAGGATGTATCGTTTAAAATCCGAGACCATCTCTTCTTGTTTGGATAATAGCTATAAATAAAGTGCAAGTATCTATCATCAGTGATCATGTATCGAACTGAGATCGATCCATCCTCGTTATGACGATCACTATAAATAAATGGTAACTATCCAAATCTTTTCACAGATCTCGGCTTCTGATAACATTTGATATTTTACTCTACCTATAAAGCAAGATGGGTGATCTAATAGTTTATGTGATCGTCGATATTTGTGTCGCAGTAACCTAAATCTAGTTCTATAAATCCTAATTCCTTTTCAATTTCATTTATGCAATAATCCCAACAATATGCAGAAAGCGTAAATAAAGGGGCATTTATTAAACACAAAGCAATTTATATATATATATATATATATATATATATATATATATATATATATATATATATATATATATATATATATATATATATATATATATATATATATATAAATTATTTTCTATGAGCAAGGGCTTAAAATCGGGACCATCATCAATCAAAGAGGATATTATGCTCATTTGAGTCTAAGATTTTGAATTTGCTGAGTGCAATCCTTGGTTGTAGTTTTGATTTTGTAAACATCATGATCATTTTAGAAGTTTTTTTTTTCATTAGACGATGACGTTTTTAAAGAGAGTGCTAACTGTGACCTGAGATCAAGTAGAGAACTATATAATTTTGTAATTTTGAGGACTTGACAATTCTTAAGAAAATTGTGACCTTACATAAAGCAGAGATTTATATGATCTTGTAATTTTGAGGACATATTTTTGCTTTAACATTCAGCACTTTGAAGTTGTATTACTTTGTATCCAGATGGGATGAATCTTTTATTCAAATTATTGGAATAAAGTGATTTTGTTCTCTGGAAATACAAAAATACTCTGAAAAAATCATCCAATAAAGACATTCTCTAGAATTTATATTTAATTCAAACCTGGAATTAAGTTATTTTGATTCAACAAAAGATAGCTGACAGAAATATTATGTTCATCTCACCCAAAGAACCCTTCAGCAGAAAGTAATTCAACAACCACGAGAAATACCGGTAAGTGTATAAAATGTTCATCGATGCGTGCAGATAATATTGATTGCAGACTATTGCCGGTTTAAATGAAAAGACGGTAGCATCCCATAAACCGCAAGTCATTGTCAATATCGGTTTAGAGCTATTTTATGGAACTAATAATTTATGTAAGCTATTTGAACGGTTTAGGTGTACATGATCTGCAAAATATACTCATTTGTAATGCTAATTACCTTTATTTTCATATCTACAAGAAATTGCTTTTGAAACATGTACAATGCTGTACTTCTTCACCTCTGGTTGAAACAAATTTTCTAATAAACAGAAGTTGATCTAGTAGTTGAGAAACTCCGATATTGTCACCCAACCCATCAACTTAATAGGATGAAAAATCTAGCAATAAGTCTCAGTGAAAACGCTAGCGTTTTTAATGGTAAATCCGACGATTACGAACAGTTACTTACAAATTGTTTTACAATTCCATCGGATGCAGCTCATTTTGCAAGAAAGAAAAATAATTGGAAACCAACACGAAAAGAGTTTTTACAGGATGTTCAATCCAGCTGTCTGGAATATTATCATGGCGGTCTATAGAACGTTAAGTACAATCGTGAAAGTATGATATCAGTTGATATCGTTGCCTGTTATCCAGGAAGTTTTCTAGGATATGGATTCGCTGGTGAGTATTTTAAACGGTTTGGACATCCCACACATGAAATGACTCGCGTTGCTATTAATGGACCACTGCCTGATTTTGATTTGACCGGTTTTGCTCGCGTAGTATCATTTGAATTCGCTGAAGGACTTCATCCATGTTGTTATGTTTGGTTTGGTAGACACATGGCTGAAAGGATGTGGTTACCAATAGTGTTATTGCGATATATGATTGATTGTAAAATGTTAGTTTCGTTGATTGTCAGCGAAGCAATTATCTCATATCAAAAACAAACCAATGTCTGGTTACCAGAACCAGAATGTCTTGATAGTATAATCGATAAGTCTAGAAAACATATTGATGCTGACGAGGAGTACATCATAGAATGGTCAAAAAAGATATTTAATCAACGAAATAGTGAAGCAAAGGATCTCGGCCGAAGAATAATCAGTAAATTTACACAAGGTGGAAACAAATTCAACTTTAAAAGACAATCCTAACGATTGATTATAGATGATGCCGAATACGACTTCGTTATTAAAGATGCAGTAGAGAAAAATAGATACGCAAATTGTAAAACAGCCTTCTTGTCCAATAAAACAAAGTTAGGTAGAATTGTTACTTACAGTGATGGAGAAAGCTCTGCACATCTACATAAAGACCCTCGACAATTCACCGTAGACAGAAAAAATAACAGTCTTGGTCATGTCAGGAACAATGTAATGTTGACCTGTCTTGAGTGTAATAGACGTAACGGAGCTAGTTAAGACCAAATGGCGGTAATTGAGTATCGTCCGGAATGACTTGTAATTGTTCGCGTGTAAAACCACGCTGAGGTGCAGTTGAATCCAATCTGTAGATTGGAGGTCTACCAGTTGATCGCGTTATAGTTGAAATTTTATGCGTAGTAACACTCCATATAGGATCAGTAGCTCTTCTTTTACCACCTTCAAGTTCTCCTGGTTCGTATAAATATCTCACAGTAACATCACTGAAAAGTGGTTGAGTGCTAACCCGCTATGGTTCTTCTGGTATACATTTTTTTATTGCAATATTTGGTTTCATATTAATAGTTCGAGTCATCTCGTTATTTAACGCTGCAACTACACTCGGTAACCTTTGGACCCATTCACGAGATCGTTTTTCTTGGATGAATTCTTTTGCATATTGATATCCAAATAACCGTTCTGCAAGAGTTCGATTAAATCGTTCTACAATTGCCTGATCACGATGTAACGCAGTATGTCCCCGTCGTATTGTAACATTATGAGTTATTATTGTTGATAGAACAGCACCTTGAAACTCTTTGCCAGGATCAACTTGTAATAGATTTGGCCATCTTAGAGGACCTCGTCGATAAATCCTTTCAAATGCAGAAACGACTTCAGAAGCTGACTTTGTTTTCAATGGTTCTGCTTGTTTAAATCGACTCGCAATATCAACTACAGTTAGCGCGTATTTGTAACCATGGTCATGTGGTAAAAACAATAAATCAGCCTGATGAAATTCATTGGGTACGGTAACATCAAAATGAGAATAATTCATTTGTTTAGGCTGTGGTAGATAAATTTGCCATATAGCTTGTTTGGATAACCAATCTTTCGCAGTGGACTTTTTCACTTTTGCAACGTTAGCGAGTTTACTGATTGCTGCTTTACCCTTCCAGTATCCTTTCGGAGAATAATAAATAGATTCCATACTATAAAAACACTAGTGTTTTCAATTACCAGCACCTAACACCAATTTGCCTTTCATAGCTGATTTGACCAACCATGAAGCCAATTTTTCTTTGAAGGATTTATCGGGAATAGCATTTAACGCACGAATTAATTTTACATCCGCGAGATGTCTTTGTTGCAAATTATTACTTTTATATGCAACATCATGAGCATGACATGCCTTATCAATAGCATTTATCGGATACTCACCAGGCCGGGGCTAATTTTGATCATCAAATCTGATATCTAATCTCGTTCCGGGACCACAGTAACTATATCCTGGAAGGTGTTTTTCTCCGGGGTATTTTGCCCATGGGGTTCCGGGGAGTTTTCCAAGTTTTGCGGCAATATCACCTCCGAGTTGCTTTTTATTAAAAATCTAAATTTTTTTGTACCACATGTTACACACTTACCAGTAAGCGCTAGTCTATTGTTTTTAGTTGTAATGGTTGTCTGATCAGATGTGTCAGTACGCTGTTTACATTTAACACAATATAAATCCATAATTTATATATAGCGTTATGAATATAATTGATTTTTCAGCGACTAAAAAAAGAGAACCGGTGAAACACCACGCAGCGAATCCGAATTCTGTCCGTGCCATTATAGTCGGACCATCTGGATCGGGTAAAACACAATTGCTGCTTAATTTGATAATGCGATTTATGAAGTGGGATAAATTATATTTAGTTGCCCCATCCGTTGATGATCAACGGTGCTATGAAGTGCTAAAAGATTATAATGAAAATGCATCAGAAATTAAAGGTGAAAGTGTAATTGACTTTATTACTGATATTAATGATGCACCATCAGTAGAAGATCTCGATGGAGACATAAACAATCTTGTAGTGTACGATGATGTAATGTTAGATAATCAAAAGAACCCTGATAGAATATTTTCCCGAGGTAGGCATAAAAACACTGATGTGATATATGTCACTCAACGATACACTCAAATTCCAAAAGTGATTCGCGATAACTGCAATATTCTTGCTGTATTCAATGGCGTTGATACACATACGCTACGAAATATTTGGCAGACATGGTG